GGCCGACCCCAGACAGGCCTCCAAAGGCCCCAACCCGGGCAGCGCGGAAACCACCGAAAGCGCCCAGTGCTTGGCCACCTCAACAGCATGGACCACCCATGGGTCCCTGTGGCCCCCCCTTGGCGCGGCCCTGAGACGCAGAGCCACTGACGTCCCCGGGGGGGCCCTACCCTCGGCACGGAGGGATGCAACACGGAGCGAGTGGAGCTTGTGCTCCGAGATGCCAGTGACAGCTGACCCCCAGACCGCCGTCGCCGTAGGAGACCCCCGCATGATCGTGCTGACACTGGCACCTGCCCCGCGCAACTGCGCGACACGCTGCGAGACCCTCGCCGCTTTCGCAAAGCGCTTGTCCTGCTCCAAGACAGAGCGAGAGGCCCCGCTATTCGCGTCCGTGCCTAGACACCTACCTGCAGACAGTTTGTGGTCGGAGCAAAGATCCCAGCGACCGCCTAGCTCGGCGTCGAGGTCAGGCGCGCTGGTCATATAACCTGTTTTATCCCAATTGACTTCGAGAAGTTTATGTTCTAGGCCAGCCACGAGCTCCATCATAGCCGAAGGGAACTGTTCTAACACCTGGGACCGTCCACCGATCATCTGCAACAACAAGTCATCAACTAAGTTCTGAAACCTAACCTGAGGATAACGATACTGCAGCTTCTTAATCAAGGTGTGGACCAATAATTTGGCCAATGCGAGGGCGTTGCTGCAGCATGCTGCTACGGTACCGTTTGCTACCATAGGTTCAGAAATGATCGCCTCCCAGACCGCTCTACGCGGCAGGCGATAACTAGAACGCAAGCATCTAAGCAGCGCCACTGGGAGCCCCGTGAGGAGCGCCTCCTGGAAGAGGTCTGCGCGCGAGATATGCTCGTAATACTTGGACAGGTCCAAAAGCCCGCTAACAGCCGAAAAACCTTTAAACGAGCAAATCTCTGGACGAGATTGCGCACGTGACCCGCGCGATCGCAGGTGAGCCCCGAAGACCCCCAAAAAGCCGAACTATCAAGGGAGAGCTCCCAACGTCTGGCCACGGGCTGCCGGAGCCTCGACCAAACTCTTCCCCAAATCGACGCCAGCACGATGGGCCTAACACCTCCCGCGGGAGCAGGTTTCCCGAGGAAGAAAATCAAAAGCATCCAGAGGTCCAGGGCCTCAGGATCGGACTCCCATTCCAAAAGGATGTCTACGAACGCTACCATATATAAGAGCGGCAGCCAGAGGAGCTGCCTCGGACGGAGGCGGTCCCACCCTAGTCCAGCACCAGCCGGGTAGGACTGTAGGACTCTATCGAGAGACTCAATGGTGATGGCAGGCAACGGCTCCCAGGGGTCCAACTCCCCGGAAAACCCAAGCCCCTCGAGGCCACGGTCGGGCTCCAGGCCCGCCAAAACGGTCTGGGCCAACTCGGGGCCCCAGTCTCTCGGGTGCACTTCACCATCGCGCCGTGGATTGTTCCACAGCGGCTCCCATTGCTCAAGCGACAAATCGACCGAATGCTGCCCTACAGCTGGCATCTGAGGCGTGTCTCCGTCTCCTGGAGTGAGAATTTGGGCGCATGGGGTTGGCTCTCGGACATATCGATACGTCGCGCGGCCCCCCTGTTCCGAAGCAGCTGCCTTGGCCCAGGCTTTCCACTTCGCGCTGCTGGCAGCGCGATCGCCGGCCTGGAGCAAGTTGGCATGATCTCTCACCCCCTCCAAGAACGCCAAACCCTTCCGACCACCCCCCAAAACAAGAGAGATCAGCGAGGCGGAGGACGCCCCGGCCCATGCAAGAAGCGGGCCTTCTGCAGGCCATCCAACAACAATGCGCTGACAGGTGAGGGCTTGCCGCCTGCAGGCGGCCAAACTACTGAGGCCCTTCTCCTTCCTTCATGCTGAAGCCGATCGCGTGCAGGCGCATGAAGGCCGAGAGGTAGGAGGACCACTGCCTGTACCCTAGCGACGAGCCTTCCCTGACGTCCTGCTTCCAAGCCGTCTCGAAGGGAACGCGGACAACACGAAAGCCGGAACTGCGACCACTCCAACTGCGTTGACACCAAGGCTGGATGTCGTGAAGATCTATCAGGTAGGTCTCCACGTGGTCCAACCAGCACTGGCACGCCTCGCCCAGATTATCAGGTAGCTCCTGGCCAACCTGCCATGTCCACTCATCTAGATGAGCCTCCACCCGGGCCGGCCTGACAGGCAAGGGCTTCTCGATCGGGAACCTCTTGGGGTAGACCGCGCGCGTGACAGTGCCCCCCCGATGAAGCCCCCCGAATGCGATGGCCAGCGGCACGTGTGTCTTGGCGGTGCTGCCCATTACCGCCTCGACCTTGGAGACGAAGGGGGCCAGAGCGTTCGACACGATACCAAAATCAATCTCCCTGCCAGCACAGGTCGGCACCTGTGCCGAAAGCAATCTGCCCTTGGCATGCCTGGCCCAGGCCTCGAGGTCCGTCGGCAGCATGTTCCAATCACCTGTCAGCAGCCAGGGCCCCTGGAGGCCGCCGACGAACGACACGCTGCCCTCGAGGTGGTCGAGGTTCTCGCCGCTGAGGCCGATGCTCGTGGCGAGGTAGACAGAGCAGACGCACAGGGGAAGGGCACAACCAATGTTG